TAAATACTCAAATTATAATTACATCATACTCTAACGAACTTCTTCAGTAACACATCGGCAAAGCTAAGAATTTCACACTCATGCCTCACTTTCGGAAAGACCGAGGGAAGCTGATGTCTCAAGAGGATCAGAGAGAGACAACAACCTGTGTAGAGCCCCAGTTACACACAACGATAAAATGTATCAGATTCGTCGTATGAGAGAACTGTCCGTTTTATCGCGGTTACACGCAACGATAAAATGTATCAGATTCGTCGTATGAGAGAACTGTCCGTTTTATCGCGGTTACACGCAACGATAAAATGTATCAGATTCGTCGTATGAGAGAACTGTCCGTTTTATCGCGGTTACACGCAACGATAAAATGTATCACATTCGTCGTATGAGAGAACTGTCCGTTTTATCGCGGTTACACGCAACGATAAAATGTATCAGATTCGTCGTATGAGAGAACTGTCCGTTTTATCGCGGTTACACGCAACGATAAAATGTATCACATTCGTCGTATGAGAGAACTGTCCGTTTTATCGCGGTTACACGCAACGATAAAATGTATCACATTCGTCGTATGAGAGAACTGTCCGTTTTATCGCGGTTACACGCAACGATAAAATGTATCAGATTCGTCGTATGAGAGAACTGTCCGTTTTATCGCGGTTACACGCAACGATAAAATGTATCAGATTCGTCGTATGAGAGAACTGTCCGTTTTATCGCGGTTACACGCAACGATAAAATGTATCAGATTCGTCGTATGAGAGAACTGTCCGTTTTATCGCGGTTACACGCAACGATAAAATGTATCAGATTCGTCGTATGAGAGAACTGTCCGTTTTATCGCGGTTACACGCAACGATAAAATGTATCAGATTCGTCGTATGAGAGAACTGTCCGTTTTATCGCGGTTACAAGCAACGATAAAATGTATCAGATTCGTCGTATGAGAGAACTGTCCGTTTTATCGCCGTTACACGCAACGATAAAATGTATCAGATTCGTCGTATGAGAGAACTGTCCGTTTTATCGCCGTTACACGCAACGATAAAATGTATCAGATTCGTCGTATGAGAGAACTGTCCGTTTTATCGCCGTTACACGCAACGATAAAATGTATCAGATTCGTCGTATGAGAGAACTGTCCGTTTTATCGCCGTTACACGCAACGATAAAATGTATCAGATTCGTCGTATGAGAGAACTGTCCGTTTTATCGCCGTTACACGCAACGATAAAATGTATCACATTCGTCGTATGAGAGAACTGTCCGTTTTATCGCCGTTACACGCAACGATAAAATGTATCAGATTCGTCGTATGAGAGAACTGTCCGTTTTATCGCGGTTACACGCAACGATAAAATGTATCAGATTCGTCGTACGAGAGAACTGTCCGTTTTATCGAACTGTGGTGTCTGATTACACGTTCCAATCTATCATTAAGTTTTCTTTCGATTGAGGAGATTGCTCGTCACAAAGCCACCATGTCTCTTTGCGACTAAAGCGATTTGCCTGCACTCTATGTAAAAGTGTCGAGCTCTGGACCTAATGAATGAAAGGTGAAACTGTACCTCTAGATCAGGAGAGCCCCCCCCCCCCCCTTTCCCCTGTACATTTTGATTTAAGAGAACAGCGTCTTTAGAAAAGGGTGGCCAAGCTGTAGGCCTACCGTGTTGCGTGTAGAACCGGAAGCTACAACTTAACTGCAGCAGATGTGCAACGCACTGAGTGACCTTGATGCACAGCTTCACCCTTGACGATCAACTAAACAATAAAATTGTTAAAATATATAATAACGCACCAACTCAGGTTCTCCTCGAGCAACTTTGCTTGTTTTGAGACGCTGATTCCAAATATGAAATCAGTTTTTACCTACGATAATTATTTAAAAAATTTTGAGTCCTGAGTTTCGTTCTGCGCGGCGGCAAATTTCAATGTGAATCTACGTCACAGTGCGTCTCCCTCAAGTGACACCGTGATCACACGGAAAATATCAAGCAGCGCTTGATTTTTCGACTGAGTCTCCAAACCATCATTCAAACTTCCAAATTTTGTACAATGTTGGGGTTACATCTAACGTTTTATCGTATGATCGCTAGATCGTCCAGTTTTTGTACAATTTATGGTTACGTTTAACTGGGCCTTAAGAAAGCAAGAAGAACATTCAACTAGCTGATGACTGGCACAATCAGCAAGCCAACCTTTTCTTGGATCCTGGAGAGGTAGGAGCAGCTGTGACAGCATTATATCGTCTGCAATGATACCTACTGTCCAACCAAGTAAGTAAGTAACTTTCAGAGCAGTCAAGACACATCAGGTATTATAAGTCATGTAAACAATTTCAATTAGGTCTTGTTAGACACAGAATTAATTAGTCCGAGGTTGCAGGACTTGCTCAGAAAAAATATTAAGACTCTGATCTGATCCAAACTCCAATTTTGAGCAGGTCAGTCAAGTTTGTGAGCAATTGTAATACAGCTGCTGTCCACAAGTCACTTGTCATATTTTCTTTCCAAGGCTTGAAATACACAGCGGAAATTTGCCTTGGTGCCTTTTTAATTTTAATTTGCTGTAAGGCACTTAAAATCAAAGGGTCAACCACGACAACTTTCGCTGTGCCCTTGTTAAAAAAATACTTTTTAAAAATAGATAGAAATGGTGACAATCAAAGGCAGTGGCAATGACTGAATCAATTCAGTCGGTACAGTGGGCCTACATAATAATGTGGTCTTTGAAGGGGGGGGGGGGAGGCGGAGGAGTGGAGTTAGGCAGCTTGGTCTCACCTCGTCTCATGCCCTCCTCGCCAGCTCCGACCTTCGACTGATCCAATGGTGAACGAAGTCTCACGAAGAGAGGCACAAGCATTGTCGTTGACAATGGCGAAAAATCTCAGAGGCCCCATGTGCAAGTTGCCCACGTTAAAGATCCCTTGGTGGTCTAAAATCAATAAGAGTAGGCTTCAGCCGCCACCCAGTGAAAAATTCAAAATTTCCTGCTAACTGAAATGTTTAATGTGTCTCGCACGCTCATATGATTATGACCTTATGCTGTTGCAAACGCCATAAAATACTTACCAAAAAAAATAAATCATCCTATCAAGAAGAGCTAGATCTAGTCATAAAGGCATTTAAGTCAAGATGCAATTGTGATCATTATTTGATTTAAAACTGATTTTTAGTGCTTTCATTTTTATGTGAAATTACTGTGATTTAGTTAGTTTTCATAATTTTCATTCATGATTTTACAAACTTTCCAATAAACTCTATACTTTTGCAGAGAGCAAGAATAAATTGTATTGCTATTTATACAGTGGAATCCTGTTATAACGCGAGGGTGGGGACCGGAGCAAAATGTCCGTTATAGCAGGATTCTCGCTATAAGGGATCCAGTAATAAATTCAAGACAAACTGTAAAGTAGGCCTAATCTATGAGTTTGGTGTTCTGTTTATTTCCTTTTGCTATCTCCCCTGATGATAATTTTGTTTCAACATGACCTCTAGGTCTTACTTGATCAAAATTCGAATTAGGTTTAAATTTCTCTAGCGCTAAATCTAGCGATGTGGACTGCAGCTCGGCTTTGGAGATCAGAAAGAAAGGGCTCTGGGCTAACTCGCTCGCTGTGTTTTCCCCCACCCCACCTCATGACTCACCCTTTGGTGCATTCCGTCTGCTCGTTCACGTCACACATTCACTCCATCCATCACATTGCTGTGACCTCTCCATCCCTGCATCGGAGAAGTGAGAGGCATGGTTGGCCTCGATAATCTATACTAGGCTTACGCTGGCTTATCACGCGATGCGTTCTGCTTGTCTGCGCAAGCCACACCCTCCCTACTCAGTCGCTCCGGCCTTCATTGTTGACGCACATGGGCTCTCCTTTTCTTTGTTTCGCTAGATCACCAACAAGTTTCTCAAATGGCGAGGTTTTGCATTATGTATAATTGGCCTATGCACTGTGCACAGCAGCAGCAATATTCCCCTATAACCGACTCGCATGTTTGTCTGATAGCGTTATAAGAGTATTTTATTTACAAAGGTAAAGAGGAGAAAAAAACGGGGTTTTAGAACAGTGCCTTTATAACAGACTTCTCGTTTTTTCCGGACTCGTTATAAGTGGACTCCACGGTATAAACGTTGCGATGCACGATCCAGTATTACCAACTTTAATCAACAAAATGATCACCTTTAATTTTTGCCTCGGTGCCCTAGCAAATTGCCTCAGTGATTTTTAAGCTCCACCTAAGCAATTTTTGCCTGCCCTCCTGAACACATAATTCGAGCCCTGATTATTAAATAATACAACGACAGCACAAGCGGATAGCTAGAGAATGACAACTATACACCACTGGCCGATATTTTTAGTTACAGCCATCTTATTTGACGTCATTGAGAGACACCCACTTTGTCAGTCATGGTAGCAACACAATCGAACGACGGCAGCCTGCCGACTCGGATTATTATCTTTGCAACTTGCAGAACTGTTCGGTTCAATTGTCTGTGATTGTGCAGCATTCTTCTTCTGCCCAGATTGATTCTGATACTATTCACTACATCAACTGAGAAGAAGAAGAAAACTAAGAGTAGGCCTTCATCAATTTGGATACGAAAGCAAGTTCAAACAAAGTTCAACGACGCAGTGTAAATGATCGAATCCGGAACGATTTTTAAAAAGTTTTTTAAGCATAAGAAATTAAGCACTTACAAGAGATTGGACTCTATAGAACGCTGAACTGTAAATGGAGTAGAACTATAAGCGAAGGAGCTAGGGAACTACCAGTGCAAACCGCGCCCGCGTTCATCACTACATTTGTATTAGAATCACAAGTGACAATCAGATGACACAGCGGGCATCCCCTGTGCGAGGTCAAACAAGAAGGCTGTTACTATAAATATCAGCCTGTGGTGTTAAGTTGTTGTTCTCTAGCTAACCGCTTGTAATGACAGCTCACAGTAAAATGAACAAAGTGGAGTTTGAATTTTATAAATCAACAGACAACTGAATTACGAAGTTTAGTGCACAATCTTTCTTCAGAATATTGAAAATCAATCATTGACAAGAACAAAAGCATCAGCTTTCCCAAAGTATTTTTCATGCTGGAGATGATCAGAAGTAATTTTAATTAAAAGAAATTTTTCTCTGTCATCTGCTGAGAACTTAACACGACGCAACAGGCAAGGTCGCCACCTATATCATTTGTCCAATAACAAGTACATATTTTCCACCATTGTCAAGCTGATAAAAACGGTGAAAACAAAATAATTCACAGCAGTCATCATGTTCAACTTTTAAGTCTCTGTACTGGGAGTAGAACGACTCACTGGAAGTGTTTCAAAGTAAACTGTTGAAAAGGAATCTTTCCCACAGCATGAAGCCTTAGTGCAATGTAAAAGAGAATAAGTAGCCTCAAAGAACACTAATGACCCATGTGGCCGTCTCATTGTCCTGCTGGTGCACTTGCATCTGAATTGTGGCTGGGACTTGGGCCTCCACCTGCGTCTGGACTGCTGCTGTGTTGCTCGACACGTTGTTGGATGCCTTGGCGGCCTGCGTAGCATGACGCTTCTGGTGCGAGTTGCGGTCACCCTGCTGCCGAAACCTCTGGCCACAGATCTGGCAAGGATATGGCTTCTCGCCCGTGTGGATGCGGTAGTGACACCTTAAGCTGTACGGGCGAAGAAATCGCTGGTGACAGACATCGCATTCGTAAGGCCGCTCGCCCGCGTGGCTTCGTTTGTGCAAGACGTATGATCCCCGGTAGACAAAAGACTTGTTGCAAATTTCACAGGTGTGGAGATTTTCACCCGTGTGGTATTTGATGTGACTTGCCAGCACCTGCTTGCTGCAGAAAACCTTATGGCAATACTCACAGGTCACTCTTACTTTTGGCTTCTCTTTCACCTTTGTCTCCCTGTGCTTCCGTTTATGAAAAGACAGAGAACTTGAGTAGCAAAAAGTTTTGTGGCAAATGTCGCACTTATAGGATTTCTCCCCTGTATGCACACCCACATGGTACTGCAGTCTGTCTCTGAAGCGAAAAACTTTCCCGCAATACTCGCAAGGGAAATTTCCTTCTTCTCTTGTCTTCTTCACTCGCTGTTTCACAGTTTTCTTCTCATCTTTGTTCTTCACATGAGCCACAAAATGATGTCTCTTTAGATCGTAGATGCGAGAGTAAGCAGAGCCGCACACCTCACAGATAAACGGCTTGTCGGCCACGTGGCCCTGCTCAGCCTGGTGGGCCTTCAGCAGTTTCTGGGAGGAGAATTTCTCTTTGCAAACTCGGCATGTGAATGTATCCCCACCTGCATGACGAGCCAGGTGGTACCGTAACTGCTTCATCGACTTAACTGTCTTGCCGCAGACATCGCAGACAAACTTTTCCATTTCCGACTTTTCAGCAGGCTGGGCTTCAGGATCTTTCGGCTTGTGCAGTTTCTTGTGAACTCTGAGCGCGCCAGGAGTGGAAAAGTCATTTAGGCAAATATCGCACTGATATAAGCTCTTCTCTCTGTGGAGGAGCACATGGTGCCTCATGGTGTAGCGCGACTTGAAGACTGCCCCGCAGATCTCACACATGATGGGCTTACGCTCTGGGTGCAGTCTGAGGGATGAGCGTGACTTGAGAACCAGCGTCTTGTCCTTGTACGCGCTTTTTACGCTGCTGTGCTCCGAGTGCCGATGCGCACACAACTGTTTCTTACGCATGAATCCTACATTACACAGAGTACACACGTAGCTGAACTCACTACCTTTCACATCGCTGTGGCTATATGGCACAGGCCCGTTTGATTTGGCCTGTCCGTCCGGCGGGGGTCCCTCTTGCTCACCAGCAAGGTCTTCACCTGCCGAGGTCTGTTCCATGACGCCCAGGCCCGTCCCGTTGGTGTTGGGCATGATGGCCCCACGAATCAACACCTGGCCTCGATGTATGTCGTAGTACAGGTGCTCAGACAGGTGAATTCTCAGGGCCGCAGGCCTCACAAACATCTCCCCGCACACTGGGCACTTCTTTGGCGTATTGCCTTCGGTGTCACTTCTCATCTGACCACTCTCCCTTGGCAGCCTTTTCTTCAGCAAACTTCGCTGAAACTTACCAACCGGTCTTTTCTTCCCAACAATAATCCCTGACTTTGACGGCGTACCTGTCTGTTTCACAGCGCGTGGAAGTTCTACTACCGGCACGTTCTCCTGCCCAGTTTGCCATGGCGTTATCACTCTCCCGTCAGACAACACAGTGATCTCCATCGCTCCAAGGTCTGCGTCTGCTGCAAAACCTTCTGCCCCGTTATTCACACCCTTCAGCACTCTCGACATACTCGCTCCTTCATTCTTCTCCGCAAAACCGGGAGTGGCCAGTTTCCTCTGAGACATTGAAGCAGCCCTTCTCCTCTGAGAGCTGGGCTGGGCCATCTGATGAATCCACCGATGAAGCTTGAGCTGTAGCTGGCCCACGAAAGCAGCGCCGCAGATCCTGCAGTGATGACGCACAAGACCCTGGCTGGTCCCTGGAGGTCTCCGTGCAGAGTCCAGAGTGAGGCGGGCAGACAATCCTTTATCTGTGCCAACAGTCATCAAATCTGCGTCTAGAGGAAGAAAAAGCATAATAAACTGTGATGATGTACCAATGCCACCATGGTATATTGGACCCTCACATGGAAATGCAATGTAAACAGATACATACAAAGCTAAGCATTCAACAACATGAAATGTGGGGAATAAAAACATGGCCTTCAAGTTCATGATGGAACTTGGAAGTTGTCTTGGTTTGTGTATACATCTGTTAGGCTAGCATGCCTCCCCTGAGTCTTACATGATCATTATTTTAAAACTTCATGATATTTACCATCTTGTGGTTTCACTGAGGGTAGCATCTGTCCTCATACTAACAGCTACACACACACAAACCGAGTAAACCAGAAAGGGTAGACATTTCAAACAAAACAAAAAAAAGAAGGGAAATCTTAACCACACACAGTAATGAAGTTTTGTTTATTTTAGTAAAAGTTTTACAGCACTTGCAACACAAACAGGTCATATCAGTGCCAAAGATTAGAGATGTTACTAGAGGGCAACATACAAATTATCAAATAAAAGGATGAGAGATTAGGACAATATATGTTTGAGAGGAAAGAAGGGGAAAACCGCACCAGAGCTCCTGCCAACATATCACAACTTCAACTTTCCACATGTCTTCTGAACTCAAGCAGTGGTAACACTGAAAAGAAATAAGACCACACCAGAGCACCTACTCACAAACCGTGTCAAAATTGAAGAAAGACTTCTCAGTGTAGTTGATTTATTATAAACGGTAAATGATGATTTCATCTGTGAACACGGATTAACAGGGACAATGAATGATACAGGTACGACATTACATGAAATAATATGGGGTACACCACATAACGTACAGTGAAGTACAGAGAACATGAACTAATATCATATAACACACAACCATACAAAAATGATATATAACTCACCTTCCATTGGCAAAATGTAAACAGGATCAGTCTGTACGCCAACTGAGGATAACAAAAGGATACAGAAGAATATGTCTGAGAATGAGAGACAGTGGGAAAAGAATGCATCCTATCAAATGACTTTACAAAATAAGCCTCACACCCTTAAAAATCATCACAGAACCCATCAAATGGCATTATATTACCAGCATCAATCGCTGCTAACATCAGCATCATATACTTTTATATTTTTGTTAAGGTAAGCAATTTTATCAAAACAACATACACAGTACTGGACTCCACACTCATAGAAATGATAAGCATATAAAGTACAGACTTATGTTCTATATATCCGGTATCTAAGTACATCTTTTCAGACCACTAGGAAAAAAGAAGAGAATAATAGCTGGAATGAATTAGGGGACGGTAAGAAGACAAGACAGAGATAGAAATGGGTAGAAAGATAGGGATGGAAGAAACAGTAAAAGAAAAAAAGAACAAAAAAAGGTGTCAGAGCAAAAGATAGAGACAAAGAACAGCATAAAACAGAATAAAAAGAAAAACTCCCCGAGCAGTTGTTTTTGCCCTGCTCTGCCCTTACCAGTACAGACAGAAGTCTCAGCTGCCCTACGGACTTCTTCCACTCTGGCCACAGCCTCTGAAAAAATCTGGGAGATGTCTATCTTACGCATGGTCTTGCGGCCACTTCGACATCCTCTACCTTTGTTCAAGGGCGAGACCGGTGTATCATGATTGACAACCATCTGGGAATAGAAGACGAGAGGCTTCGTTTAGCTGTTCATCTGCTTTAATCCACTGGCTACCGCCATAGTTGTCTTATACCCAGCGTACCTATTTCAATGTGTTCTCCAAATGATCACTGTGACAAAAATAACTGACATAAAGCTGTCTCCATAGGATTATGCGATTGTGCGGCCGCGGCGCGGCTGCGTTTTTTCGCGTAATTCTGCATCACTTGCATAATTTTCGATCCCCCGCGTTTTTTCACGTTTTTTACCTTTTTTTTCATAAAACAATTAATTAACGCCTCGCCATGTGACTAAAGGGAAATAATCACCGTAATAAGTCTCAGTTAAGTGAAAAGTTGGTTATTTCCCTTGTTAGAAGATCTTGGTAATGGGTTGGGATTTTGTTCCTTGAGAATGTTCAATTTTGCCCTCTGCTCATGTTTCATGTTTGACAGGTGTCCCTGGTTTTAGTAATGTGCCACCATCAGAGGTCCAGATGTCCTTTTTTTTATTTTTTTAAAAACATTTTTCCTACCTCTAGTTACAGAGATTATATTTTTTTTTGGGGGGGGAGTTCTTACTGATGTGTATTGGGTTTTTTTCCAAATACACAACAAATTAGTGATAATGATATGTTCTGTTTTAAATTTTCTGTACTTAAAACATGAAAATCATGAAAATTCGTGTTGAAAAAGTGCAAAACATGTTGCGAATGATGTTACGGTAACTTGCATAATTTTTGCATAATTTGGCTTTTTTTGGCATAATTTGGCCATCTAAATTTGCATAATTTTACGGGGACAGATTAAGTCACCAAACTTTGCACAGCTATAATGGACATAATAAATATTGTAAGAAAATAAACAGAATGTGATTTCTTTCTTTCATCTTATTTTTAGAAAGCAACAAAAATAGGTCAGGAAAATGCTGCAAGAACCATGATGGGACTCAAATTGGGACCCAGGAAAACAAATCAAATGTGAATTGTATGCAACTAAAATGTTTGTTTCTTGTTTGTGGCACATACCCATAGAGAACACAAAAAGGACCAGCAATGGCAACGGTCAGTCCAACTGTTACAGTTGAGTTTGTTACAGCCACTAACTCTCCTTCGTGTGATAAAATATGGAAACATTGTCCTATGCACAACAGCACTTGGCACTCAGAGCACCAGGAAGTGCCTTTCTACCCTTTTCCTACTCTTTCGCTGGTTGTAGTTTCTAAAAGCAGTACCTATGCAGCGGTAATATCACCAATAAAACCCTCTCAACTTAAAAAACGCAGGGGCTGTGGCAAAGTTAGTCCACGGAGACAGACAGAAACAATCCTGTCTTTGTTCTATGTCTTCTCAACACTAAATAGCCATTACCACTAAAATAAAGACATAGAGAAGGGGAGGATGATCTACTAGTACAAACTGCATCCCCCAGCCACTCGCAGAACAAATTTTGGGTGAGAAAACAAAATTACATTATATATCAACACGATAATAGAATTAAAATTCAAACCAAACACGAAGATTGGACCTCGATGTAGGGTGAGAAAGATTGTGAAGATGATGATGACCTACTGATATCGAGTCAAAAAACACAAATTAGGACACTGAAACATCTATTATATTACTATACACAGAAGAAAGTAGCGAATGAGGTTCTCCCGCTAAGAGGTATGACACTTCCCTGACCGTACAGGCATCAAGAAAGGAAAACCAGGTCCTCAAGCAGGTAGGACTGCATAACTGTTTCCTGATTTTTTAACTTTCTTGGGCAAAGACCAAAAAAAAAAAAAACAGCCAGAAAAGACGAAATTCTAAATATTAAGTCCAACATAAAAAGAAAAAAATTTTTGTTGTCAGTAGATAGCAATTCCTTCGAAAACAGCCTGCAGAGCTTCAAAAATTAATTAACAAAAGGAACTGTACTATTCATTGTGAAGAATCAAGTTTTAAGCAAGCTTACCAGGTGCTGGGAGAAATCAAAAATTGAGGGCACCGCATCTCGTTTCAAGACTCTCCTGCGGTCACCTTCGATGAAGTCTGATTCACGGAAGTGCCGGCTGCAGAGCCTGTGTGCGCTTGTTGGGGTGAATTTGTCTCGTCGGACGGCTTCAACCCATTTCGCCAGAAGTCCATCATTTTTCATGGGGAACCGGTGAAACGTCAGATCTCTAACACGATGCTCAGACAAGACCTGAGATCGTGTTGTCGTCTGGCGATTTGTACACCCCAGGGCAGCACAAGACGTAACCATTTTCTGTGTGAATGAAAGATGGCACAAAAAAAAAAGTGAAGTTATAGTTATACCCTACAATGTTAAACTGGCTTCTTGAGAGCATTTTTTTTTTAATTCCAGGGGGAAGTGAGTAGTGGCTAACTGTACCGCTGATTGTGACCATTAGAGCAGGTGTTTAATTGTAGTGTAATCTTTAATATTTTGGAATATATTCATCCTTTCATCTCACACTAAAATCTCAGATCTTAGTATTATATTTTGATATTATATTTTCTCCTAACGGAAATAAAGTAGTTTTTAATTTTTGACCTCCGTGACATGTTTAGTATAGTATAGTATAAGGTTTTACGGCGCTCGCAACTGCTAAGGTCATATGAGCGCGCGTGACATGTTTAGGGGTACCAGGTTCTGGCACAGGGTCTTAAGCTATGTTTTCTTTTAACACAGCACGTAGAGCACGCAACACATCCCCACGGACCAATATACAGATGCAACACACATATATATGCTATATCACACAGTCGCCGATCGGCGTCCAGAGGGCAAAAAGTACGGTTTCTTACCGTCATTGATCGGAGTCCCCTGGGGGCAAAGTGTTAATCAAACACCTAATTTTTTTTACCATCATTATCAAGTTTTTCTTTTAGTTTTAAAGACAAAATAAGATATTAAGACTTTACTTTTTAAAAATCCAAGCAAAACGTTTGCACAAATTGCAGACCCCGATTACTTTTTAGGTAAGCTATAGATAGCCTCTCTCTTGTATAAAATCATTATGCAAGTGTTTCTGGGTATTCTTTTACTTTCACTACCATGTCATGCTCAGGTTTTTTGTAAAGAAAGACTTTACTTTTGTCTGCCCTTTTCTTGTTCATTTTTATCTGTTTTATATGAATGTTGACTTCATATATTGTCGCAGATTAATATGTTTTGAAATATTTTTGCTGGTCTCTATTGAAACTAGATCTGGATCTAGATCTTAATCATACTAAAGACTCTAAGCCTAATTTCATACACACACTAATTTCCCTGATTTGAACCAATATGGGGGAGGGGTGGGGTTGTTGTAGGGGGTATGTCCCCGCCCTTGACATAAAAAGTAGGCCGGCTCTATTTCTCCGAACGTTCGGGAAAATAAACTTGAACTTTATTTCTCCGAACAGTTTCCGTTCTCGAGATTTGTTGATAAAAAGCAAATGGAGTGGCCTGCGTGTGTGTGTGTGTGTGTGTTTGTGAGTGTGTGTGAGTGTGCATGTGTGCGAGTGAGTGTGTGAATTGTGTGTGTAAGGTGTGTAAGGTGTGAACAGGGGGGGTGGAGGGATTTTTTTTACATGAAGGATTTTAGTTTTTCCTGGGTGACTAAATGCAAAATAGGTTACTGCCAAGGTCGTGCATTCTTGTTTTCTCGCAGTACTTTTTGAAGGTATTTTCAAATGAAATAGTCCGGGAACGTTGCCCCAACCACAACTGCTGAATATTCAGACATTAAAAAATCTAGCTAGCTCTAAGAATTGAATTTGATGCGAAAAATGCTTCCTCCCAGTCCTCGCAGAATGGGAATGAAATTATGACCCCTAAATCTCGCAAATAACCAAAAAATCTCGAGATCAGAAACCTTTAGGAGAAATAGAGTTCAACTTCATCCGAGCATTCGGAGAAATAGTCACTTAGTTTAGATCTATTGGGTTTTTTTTACTTGTTCACGTTTTGTTGACGCTTTGGCAATTAGGATTGATATATTTGAAAACAATAGATTTGCAAGGGTTTTAGTGACTATACGTGTGTTCTACAGCAAAAATTTTATGGCAGTTTAGCCTTCAAATAAATGCATCTATGTGATTGTGAGGGTGCATAAATAATTTAAAATTTACCCGATCTATTTACGGACCGATCTATTTAGATCTAAAATCTAGATCTATAATACTGTACTACTGTACTGTACTGTGTAACTGGAAAAAGAGAAGGTGCTGTGACATAGTATTGTTCACTCATTGCTACTGTGTTACAATTTGGCACATCAGGCCTATATTTGACGCAATTTATCTCTCTAGATCTAGATTTCAAAGCGTTAGAACTTAGACTGAAAGAATTGAATCAGAAATTCCAATTGCAGCCATAATGGAGCAAGTCTAAGAGGATGGCCTCTACCTGACACATTCTATTTGTAGTTTAAAAAAAGGTTAAATCTACAACATAAAAATAGGGCCTAGATAGATCTAGTAAGTGTAGCCTAATGTTTGCAAAAAACAGAAGTTTGAGGTACCACAGACTTCAAACTCTTCGCGAGGAAATCCACACAATAAACAGGTCCAGTGCTTCCGTGCAGTCAGTCATATTCTTTGCAGCACACTGCTTGATTGTACTATGGGGAACACAACATCAAGATCTAGACTCTCTATGTCTCAACAAGTGTAGCTTATCAAATAATGCAAAATCAATTCTTACAAACAATTCTCAAACGCTTACCTCTTTTATTGTGGATGTACTAAGATTTAGGGTAGATCTAGAAGGTTCAATAAAATTTGCGGTTTTGATACTGTAAACTCCCCTTGCCTGCCAAATGTAATGGCGTTGTCACATGCCAGATTTTGACACGACTTCCTGTTAAATTTTAAGCCAAAAGTTCTCATGAACCCAGCAACCAAACCCCTCCCTCCTCACTTTTTCTTTACTTAAAAATCATAATAGGCTAGCAGACTAAAGAAAATTGCAAGATGTAATAAGTTTAGGTTAACTAGATAACAATGTTATTGTGATATATTTTTGTTTCAGTTTCTAAATAGGCTGCTGAATACAACCGGTACATTACTATTAAAATTGTATAGATCTAGGGCCTCTCCAATCCAGATCGCAAAAACTCATCTGAACCAAGATGAAGGAGCAAAACAGCTTGCTGTAGGCCTATTATATATATACCTCCTTGCCCAAGACCAACAACTAAAATACAGTGGGTGTCGCATTCAACGAGGTTGCCGGGACCGGCTTGTTGTCCTCGTTGGATCCGACCTCTCGTTGAACGTGACTAAGGCTAAAGTAAAGAAAGGAGACAAGACAAGTTATTAATATTATAGGATGTATCAATACCAGTACATGTAATTAAAACAGATGTTCCCCCTGATGACGAAAATCTCAAACAGCATCAGTACTTGTGCCTGTAATTCAGCTGTGTTCTAACCGTCATTTCTGCATTTTAAAATTATTTGTTTCCAGAACACTTCTTGTGTGGAAACATACCCTCTCACATCTAGATCGAGAGTTTGGATTTTCTGATCAGAGGAAGAAAAGAAAATTGAAAAAAAAATGAAGGTCTCGATCTAGACCAGTGGTTCTCAACCCTTTTCAATCCGCGACCCCCTTTTGATTGTTCAGCAAATGAGACGACCCCTAATTAACAAACCCTTCTGATCCCCCCCCCCCCTGAAAAAAAAATGTATACAATCCAGCAGCAGATAATTGAAAAGGCCTATAGTACATAGTTAATATTGAACAATAACTGTACCTTTGATGTTTTAAATCACTCCTATTTCAAGCAAATTCAAATCGAGAAAAAGAAGAGAACACACACACACACACACACACACAAACAAACAAACACACACACACACACACACACACACACACACACACACACGCACACACACACACACACACACACACACACACACACACACACACATACACATACACACGCACACTCACAGATTTAAAGAAAAAAATCTAATGAGAAGGCTGTGCCTGTAGGTCAGCGACCAGTCTTGAAATTCTCGGGGAAGTCTTGGATAAAGCAAGGCACATATCATCAGCAGCATCCATAAGGATAGAAAATCCGCTTTCGCAATGGTAAGTCAAGGCAAAAGGGACAATTATGACTCGAAGTGCTGTTTTGCTGACCTGAGGGTATGATTCCTGGAGTGAACGTCAAAACTGCAAGAGATTTCTCAAGAATCATGTCTCCATCCCAAAAACTCGGACTTGAATGTCATCTGCAAGGACAATGATGTCTAGTCCAAGAGTGAAGGTGAAAGGGCTTCTTCCAAGAGCTTCTTGAACTGATCTTCAAATGGTTTCAAATTTATAGCAATGTCAACTTGAAGATCAGCAGACAAGGTCTCCTCTGGATTTAACAGCTGTGAAAGACTGGTAAACATAGCAATGTTGTAATTTTCCGGTGCCAATTCTGAACTTTTAAAAGAAAGGCACCCAGAACGTCTTTAAATCTAAACTGACCTTGAAGTTTTGAGTTGAGTTTGTTGAGGTAGTCAAACTTATCAGACATGTAGGCATGCAAGTCTTTGGATCCACTAATCAATTGAGAAGTGCCTGCAGACCTCATCTTTTCCTTGCACTTCCAGGAAGAACTTGATCTCCTCTCTCAGCTCGAAGACGCGACATTCAACGTTTCCTTTCGATAACCGCCTAACCTGAGCGTAGAAAAACAGTGTTTCATGATCTGCACTCAGGTCAGAACAGAGTTCTTTGAACAGTCGTGTATTTAGGGGGCTGCGTTTCACATGTGACATAGTTGGCAATCTTAACAGTCGATTCCAACGTTTCCTTCAAAGTGGGATTGCGGGGTTCTTGCAAGCTAGTGCATATATCTATGTATCATGCAGTGAATGCCTTTTGCGTCTGGTGCTTTGTCCTTCACTTTTACTTTGACCTGAAAGCCAGACTTAGATCCCTTCATGGCTGGGGCACCATCAGTACAAATATCTCACACATTCTTTCACTCAAGACCCTCGTTTTCCAAAAGGAGGCTAACTTGTTCATGACAGCATCAGCTGTTGTTGTGGTGTCTAGTGGTGTGAAGAAAAAAAACCCATTCTTCTTTCACATCTTTTCCCAACACGCATCTCATAAAGACTAGTAACTGTGAGCACGATGTCACATCAACTGATTCGTCAAGCTGGAACGAGAACATGGGGCAAGTTTTGATCTCCTCTACCACCTGTTCCTTAATGTTTGAAGACATGCATGCAATACGCCTCTTGACAGTATAATTTGAAAGGAAAACTTGCTGCAATTTCTGTGCACTAGCCTCACCTAACATTAGCCGTGCCATCTTTATCGTGCAAAGCTTTATGTCTTTCTCCAATTGTGTGTCTCCAGCTTTAAGTCTTTCTCCAATTGTGTGTGGTTTCTTTTATTTTGCTCTCTCTCTCTCTCTCTCTCTCTCTCTCTCTCTCTCTTTCTCTCTTCCAACTTCTTTATTATATCTCCTTTGTCAAATTTCCTGACATAGCCTTTCCTGTGTGTTTATTGTTCTGCCACGCAACAACATAGTTTTATAATCTACAGATTTTTTACTCCTCAGCTAGGCCTATGATCTTATAAGAGATGACAAGCTAGATGCCTACGTGGAATTCGAAAGAGGCAATAATAGTGAAACGGAGTTTCCGTGATAATTTTTTTTACAGTGTCATCCCTTGGGCGTGGGTTAGATTTAACCAGAGAGTGATCTAACCCAGAAGTAGAAGTCAGTAAGACTAAGAGTAGGCCTACACAAATTAAACCCGGGCGAGACAGGTCTGGATGAAAATAGTAGGCTACATGTACATGACTAGATCTACCATTCTTCCCCATGTGAACCCGTTCTCCGAAGCCAGCACTCATGCAGTTCGTCATAAGCGAGGCTTCAAGTTATTGTGCGTTGGCCTATGGCGAGGCTAAATTATACATTTTGAAAGAAAAGAAAACACTGCAAACCAAACCTATGATTGGCCTACATAAATTGTAAATAGGCAAGGCAAACTGCTGTAACCTTGTGGTTTCTTTGGCCTTGTTTAGAAGTCCAGGTGTTTACCTTTTTTCTTATTCCAGCCAATGGAAGAGGGAGCGGTATTTGGAAAATTGCCAGGGGAAGAAAAAGAGCAATGTTTTAGTTTTCAGAAGGCCATAATTTAAGCACAAATTCCTCAATGATCATGCGACCCCTCAATAATGGTCTGGCGACCCCACGGGGGGTCGCGACCCACATGTTGAAAACCCCTGGTCTACTGCTAATGTGAAGTCAGCGTTTTAGGTCTCAGTGTTGTTTGAGTGGAAGTATAGGTGTTGTTGTTCTCTGTTAGTTTTGGTGTTTTGGAAGGTTGTATAGTAGTTTGCTTGGGATGAGTGGACTAAAGGCAAGGGCACCTAAGCAGTTTCTCCATGCTGAGCGCATAACTTACGAAATGTCAAGGATGGTGAGTGTGTGGAGAGGTAATGTTCAGTACGAAAAGCTCTCTGCTCTTTACTAAACGTAACCCTGATCTCAGCAGGCAAACCAAATTTGGGAGGAACAGTAGGCCTATCTGCAGACTTCAGTTGACTTGATGGACTGTTGTAGGCCTAGTTTGGAAGGTGCCATTGTTGCAACTTTTATAGTGGTATTTTTAATGCCTAAGGCGAACCGGTGCGTCATGCTATGAAAACGGCGACAAGGTTGAAAATGGGTTGTTTTTTAATACGCCATTTAAAACAAAACCATACCGTGGACTTGTTTTTATCTAAAATGAATATCAGACAAATTCCTTTTGGATTCCAAATGTTATGTTTACAGATCTGAAACGCAAAACTTCAGTATTGAGGAAGATGTATTCACGGTGTATACAAAACAATTTGTACAGGGTTTTTAAAAAAATCATTATCATCCTGTAGGCTACTCCTTTAGTTTCTAAATTTCTAAATGAACAAAGCTTTTCTTAAAAACATTTTTTTTAAACTCGAGGAAATGTCATTTGAGGTTGAGAAATTTCCTTCGATGTTCCGGAAGAGTTTGAGCATTTCGTTAGCACAGTAGATTTAGATCTGGTCTTTTTTCTTGAAGGTGATCCGTTTCCTTCTTGAAACTAGTTCTTGAGTAGATCTACGGGGAGGATTGGGTACATTGAAATTGAACAGCGCAGGAATAGCTGTATTTTTACGCTTCAGCTGATTTTTCCTCACATTGGCAAACTGAGTTCTCAAAGTTTTCTGACCAGAGTACGTCAGCAGTGAAGAGACTCTCTGGTGACTTGCCTTGCAAATCCTCTTTTCGGAAGCTCACCACCCATTAAAGGCACCTCACCTTATCCTTAGGAAACCAACAAATTAATGGTCCGGTTCTCATTTTTTTAAAATTCACTGCAGAGCACCACTGGCTTGTCTGTAGTCTTTTACTTTTAGGTGGAAGATCGACAACAGTTTCGTTTGCCCCAAGATCCATTTGGTCTTGGCTCTGACCAAAGATCATCATACACTACAAAGTTGACTCCACAAACAAACATTGACAAACTCATTGGTTCACTCTACCAGAGACAATGTACATAAACGTTTACGTACACTGTCTCTAGTCTCTGACAAGTGGAGATCACCCTGCCGCCATGGTGGAAAGATGAGCTGGACAACTTGTGGAGAGCAAAAAGGAAAGCGTTATAAATAAATAAATAATACCAACGCAACCGAAAGAGCCCAGACCTGAAAAGAGCAGAGAAGGAAGCTTCAGGACTATTCAAAGTCGTGACGAAGGAGGCTAAGGAAGCCATTTATATTATGATAATGTTTGTCAAGAGGTGACAGATGATAAAGCACTCCACAGATTCTTT